GGGGCAGGGGGGACCTCTTTGCTCTCTCTGCAGTTAAGCCTAAACCTCCAAACCAAGACACAGTCCCGGGGCCCCCTTCCCCTGCCTGGAGACGTGGAGGGAAAGGGACTCAGGAGTCAGCCCCAGGCCCACTGGGGAGGCAGCGTGGGCTGCCTTATGCCTGAGGTGTGGCTGTGTTGCCTTCAGCAGGCGTGGGGGCAGTGAAATTTCATGAGCTGCTATTCCTTTATTTCCCAGAGAGTCCTTTCCGATGATCCTCGTGGCCAACAAGGTCGATCTGATGCATTTGAGGAAAATCACCAGGGAGCAAGGAAAAGAAATGGCGACCAAACACAATGTAGGTGGCGTGCATGTGCGTGTGTGCACGTGTGTGTGTATGTGCTGGGCAGTCAGGGATGTGTAGGAGGCCGTGCCCATCACTCCTGCGGGAGCTTGGGCCTCCTGGGTAGTGGGTTAGGTCCCGCAGAGAGGCCTGGCAGGGCGTATGTGATGAGGGCTATGTTGTGAAACAAAACAGCAGACTTGAGAGAAAACACCCTCTTATCGGTCGTGAGGAGCTCTGATGGGGGGACCAGGTCCCTTCACAGTGGCCTGCGAGCTTGGTGTTCAGGCCACCTCCTGGCCCCCAACACAGCAGATTCATCGCTGGGCTGTGCAGAGGGCTGGCTTCTATCGAGTTCTCTGAGCCAGCCGCCTGATTATGCTCAGAATCATCGGACCAGCGGCAGTTCACCGAGCCCTGTTCTATGCCAGGCCTTGTGCTGGGGAGCGATCACTCCTTACCACCACATGCTGAGGTAGGTATCATGATGCCCATCTTACAGTTGGTCAGACTGAGGTTTGCCCAGGCCGCACAGTGAATATCAGTGGACATCTTTGTTTTCTTTTTTTCAGTTCATTGTGATGCCCCTTTGCCCTCTGGAAGTGCTGGGTGGGGTCACCGGGCTTCTTCCCACCCCTCCCCCGCACAAGCACAGCCCAGGCCCCTGGCCTCATGGGTCAGTTATGTAGAAGTCCACTCTGCCTGCTGGGAGGTCTGCTGCAAGGCTGCCCCTTCCCTCTGCCCGGTGGGCCCAGCTCTGTGAGTAGAGGAAGGGGGCTCACTGCAAGTTACTTATGCTTGTCTCTGCCTTCTGCGTCCATTCACATGTTTGTGTAACTGCCCTAGGCCCTGGGAAATAAAACTCTAATGACAGGAGACAGATAATAAACCAAGCAAATTACAGTGTCCCCCAATTACAGTGTGACATGTGCTATGGAAAAAAGTAAATCAGGGAAGGGGGTCAGGAATGTAAGGTGGAGGAGGATGCTTTTCCAAATAGGGTGGTCAGGGAAAGCCTTGCTAGGGAGGGTGCATTTCAGCAAGGACTCATAGGAGCTGAGGAGGAAGCCCTGCAGATCTCTGGGGAAAGAATGTTCCAGCTGCGGGAATAATCAGTGTAAAGGCCCTAAGGCAGGAGTTTGAGGATCAGCAAGGAGGTCAGCTGGAGCTGAAGTGGGAGGGGTGGGGAGCAGGAGGCCAGGTCAGAGAAGGGCTTTAAACTTTATGGGCTTTTGCTCAGAGGGAGAGGGGAAACCATTGGACGGCTATGAGTGAGGAGTGATGACGAGGTCTGGCTTATGGCTGCACAGCTTCTCTCCGGGGGCCATGTTGAGAAGGGCCCCATATAGGCCAGTCGTGGGAGCAGGGAAACCAGTTAGGGGCTGCTGGATAACCCAGATGCAGGTCAGCACGGCCCAGAGTGGTGCTGGTGAAGGTGGCAAGGAGGTAGTTGGATTCTGGACGTGTTTCTAAGAAAGCCAACAGGATATGTGCACAGATTGGATGTGGGGTGTGAGAGAAAGAAGGTGTGGCGGGTGATTCTGTGGTTTGGGCGTGAGCAACTTTCAGAAGACCAGAGTGTCAGTAACTGGGCAGGAGAGACAATCGGAGGAAGTGTGTGCGAGACAGGCGCTTGGTTGCAGATCTGTGGAGGCTGAGGAGCTGAGTGGATAATCGGATGGAAATGCCAAGGCGGCAGTCAGATACAGCATCTGGGGCAAGTACTGGCAGCGGCAGAGTGTGGATGGCATTTGAAGCCATAAACGCCAAGGGAGCAGGTGTAGATAGGGCAGGGGTCCCAGGACTGAGGCCGGACACTTGACCTAGTGATGCGGGGAGGTGAGGAGGAAACCACAAAAGGGCCTAAGCTCTGGGTGACGCATGAGGGCCAGAGTGGGGCGTCGTGGATGCCAAGTGAAGAACATGCCTCAAGGAGGAGGAGTGATCCACCAGGACAGAGCTGCCCCACAGTCTCCAGAGGAGAGCTGGAAACTCACCGCTGGGTTCTGAACAGAGACAGGCCTGAGGAGCCGGCTCCGTTTCCCAGTGTCAGGCTCCCTCAGGCCTCTCATAGACACCTCTGCTCGTCCCTTCCAAGCAGTGGGCGGGTGGGGGGGGCGGTGGAGAGCGGAGCCTGCCCGGCCCCCGCCGCTGCAACCTGGGCCTCCAGTCTCTCAGCCGCGTTTCTCCTGCGGCAAATGCCACTACCTCATTTACCATTTGACCAAGCGATTCTGCGAGCTACTATCGACAACATGCTATTTTAGAGCTCATAAGGCAAGTTCCTCTTTAGCTGCCAAGGCGGGCACCCCACCCGGCGCCGGAAGGTGGCATTTCCTAGCCCTGTGGTGGAGTCAGGCGGTGCTACCATTTAGTGCAGCGTTCCCTTTAGTTTAAGTCTCCTTGCTACTGAAATCCTAGAATTCCAAGAACCCAGATAATGCACCCCAGCCTTTCTTCAGTGGTGGAGGCAGGACCCCCAGAAAGAAGGCCGAGGGCACCCAAGGACCTGGGGGTCACTACAACTCCTGTACTTCTGAGTGGTGGGTGGGGCGGCACCAGCAGCTGTCTCAGGCCCCTGGAACCGTGCCCCTGCTGAGCCGGCAGGGCCACGGCCTGTGAAGGGGCTCCCGGTGAGTCCCAGCCCCAGCTACAGGCAGCTGCCTGCCCCTGCTCTGGGTGTGCGAAAGGAAGCACGTTGCCCTGGCCTCACAGGGTATCACAGGACTCTGGCCTCTAGGCCCTAGCAGGGGTGCCCTCCGTGCCTGGGAGGGGCCCTGAAGCTGACCTCGGCACCCCTAGCTGTCCATGGGCGGCCAGGCAGGGAATGGAACAGGCACCTGCTTCAACCCTTGATTCTCTGCCAGCTACGGTGTGGCTCTGGGCGAGCACATCACCGCTCTGAGCTCACAGTGTCCCCCCGAGGCACAGTGGAGATACTTGCTTACCTCCGAGGGTGAAGGTGGGGAGTAAGTGAGCTCAGGGCTGCTGAGACCTGGCAGGCGAAGGGCCCAGAGGCGTCTCAGTCAAACAGCCTACAGTGGAGGGCAGTGGTCTTTCAGTTTATCAGAGCCTCGAAGATTGGTTCATGACTATTTGAAAAGTCTCAGCCTTGCTTCGTGTGCTCTGCCCTTTGCGTCTAGCCACCCTCAAGACCTCTGCCTGTGGCCACAGCGATGTGCAACGGTCCTTTAGGATGTGTCCTGGGCAGTCGCCTACAACATTCTCCTCTAAAGTAACAGCTCACCTTGTCACACAACCCCCCGCCCCGACCCATGCATTTGAACTGCTGGTCATTTTTATTTTCTTCACTGGGCTTTTCTTTTTTGAAAGTGTTATAATGAAATGTCTTAATTTTGTAACCAGGGGAAAGTAATGAAATACACCCGAGTTCTTCAGTCTGACCACAGTCGGCCTCCCTCTCTGGCCTGGGGAAGCCTGTATATTTTGCACAAACCCCACACTCTCTCCACTCAAGCGGGAGTGCACACAAAGCCTTCCCGCCTGTGCGGGGTCCCTGACGCAGGAGGAGAGGTGTGCTCAGAACTGCGTCCTGACCTCATGCAACCTTTGTCCTCCTCCCTGTGCCAGCCCGAGACTTGGGGTAGACACGGCCCTCAACACCTGTCCTCTGGGGGGCCACCTGAGCCACATCTGCCGGTGAGCTGCTGTCCTTCAGCTGGGATGATGATTCCTCCGGGTCAGACGTGCAGGCACAAGCCCTCTGTGAACGTGGCCGAGCTCCCGGACTCGTAGATGCAGACCAAACAAGAGCTGAGCCCGGCAAGCCTGTTGGGGGCAAGGAGGCACAGACTGGCTAGAGGTCACCGGGCTGCAGCGTTCTGCCCATGGCCCAGCCTCACTTCAGCCTCTCCCACCAGAGTCTGCTCTGGAGCGCCCGGGAAGAGGCAGAAGTCCCCTCACGGTGGAGAAATAGGCCTCAGAAAGAAAAAAGAATAGCATCAGAACCTATTTTAGTTTGATAAATGAAACAGTCTTTAGTCTTCAAGTATGTAAAAAGATTTTTTTTTTCCTCTATTTTTAGGGGGCTATTAAAGATCTCTATGACTAGAGAATAAAAGGGAATTAGACAAGCTGTCAAAATTTTCCACCCTTAAGGAGCAAGACGCCACCAAGGGGCTTGAGGTTGTTGGCGCCAGGGTTCTGTGGGGGTCTCTGAAGGCAGGTGGTTCCTTGGGACCCCTGACAATCTGCAGCTTTAGGGAACGGGGCTTTGTGGACCTCAGTGCTACTTTTACCAAGTTGAGCTTTGCCTTCCAGATTCCGTACATAGAAACCAGTGCCAAGGACCCACCTCTCAACGTCGACAAAGCCTTCCATGACCTGGTTAGGGTAATTAGGTGAGCATTGCACGCTCCCCCAGAAGCAAGCCCTCTGCAGCAAGGTGGGTCGCCGGGAGGACTGGAGGGACGTGGCTTCTTGTTCCAAGGCCGGGGCCGTGCACTTCTGGGCCTGTTTTGTATTTCTTATCCCTCCACCCATTTCTTTTCCCCGCCCTTCCCATCTTCCTTTGCACACACCCCCTCACTCCTCCTACCCGTAGGGGAAGCCCAGAGCTAAAGGGAGGGGCCTTCCTGCCTGGGGTACTATAGCTCAGCCTCCTCTCCGGCCTCCTCTCTCCTCTCGGCTCCCCAGCCTCCACCTGCCTTCCGTGTTCTCCCAACACCACACCTGTCAACACCATAGGAAGTAGGTCCGTGTCCTCTCCACCGCCCCGAGGTCAGAGCGCCCCGTGACAGTTCACCTGAGCCACCACCGTTCTGATTCCTCAGCTCAAGTTGCTGGGGCGTTGCACATGCACCCGCTTTGCAGACCGCACACCCTGCCAGGCTCCAGGTGTGGTCGGAAAGCCTCGTCAGCGGTCTCGCTGCATTCCTTTACAGTCAGGGTCCCAGCCCGAACCGCCTCGTGCTTAGAGGGCTGCCACAGCCTCCCGGCTGCTCCCCTGTCACCCATCTGCCCATTTCCAAAGTCTGCACCGTGCGGAACAGCCTAACCCGCGGTCCTCGAATATCAGGCCCTTAGTGTGAGGCCATGTGCTGCAGAGCTCTACGGCTGTCAGTCGTGAACTCACGGGCAGGGCCCTGGCAGAGTGCTTTCCCCGTGCTGCCTGTCGGCGCCCCAGGACACACACACGCACACATACACAGACACAGCCCTTTCCTCATCAGTCCCCGGTGTGCACTGTGATAGCGCAGCCCCCCCTTTACGCCATAGCTGGTGGCTCTGCACTTGTGGAAAGGTCTTCTCGTGGGCATTTGGCCTCCCGTTGGGGTACGCGGCCCGGCCAGGAGCTGGTGGTATCTGGGCTATGGACCTGTAGTTCCAGGGCAGGCTCTAGACATAGGAATAGTTAACAGAAAGCATGCAAAAAACTTTTGGACTCAACGGGCTTGTCATTTTATTTAAAATATGAAACACAAAAATAGAGGCCAGTACTAAAGAACACATAATGTAGTTCACGATTTAAAGAACTACAGCCCCAGTGTGATGTCAGGAATTCTCCCCAGCAGGGCAACAGGCTTTGCCCTGCCCTCCCTGCCTTCCTGCTCTCTCTGCCCCAGAGACAACTGGCCAGGCCAGGCCCTCCCCCAGCGTCCAGAACAGGCCTGCTGCCTGCACACCCAGGGCCCCGGGAGGAGAGGGGCAGGGAGAAGCAAAGCCCGTTCTGACTTTGTTTTTCTGCCTTTCCCTGTCTCAAAAGGCAACAGATTCCAGAAAAGAGCCAGAAGAAGAAGAAGAAAACCAAATGGCGGGGCGACCGGGCCACCGGCACCCACAAACTGCAGTGCGTGATATTGTGACGGGCCTGAGGCCCTGGCCACGGTGACCGCGAACTGGCTGGCCCTCGGGGCCCTCCACTGCCTAACCGCGCTGAAAACCATTTCTAACCACGACCCTCGGCCCAAGGACCTGGCTCAGGAAGGAAGGAAGGGAGGGTGGGCAGGGAGGAGTGAGGCTCCGGCTTTGCAAGAAGGGCACAGGCTCTCCCATGTCTCGAGAGAGACAGGGAAGCAACGCTAAACAGAAGCAGCATCCAAGCCCCTCACGTTGACTCAACCCGGTTCCTCCCCATCTCTCGGTGGCTGTGTTGTTTCTTTGAAGTACACAGTATTAGTGTGATGTGGAAGTGTGTGTCCACGGACAGAGTACCGAACAAGCCATGATCCACCCCCCACGCCCCTGCCCCCAGCCCAGAGTGTCTGAGCCTGGGGGGCTTTTGTAGATTTTTAAATTATTTTAGTGATTATTATTTTATTAAGGGGGTCTGTGCCCACGGACTGGCGGAGCTTCAGGGCTTCAGCAGGCCTCTCTGAGAACATGTCTGGAATACTGTTGTTGTTGTTGTTTGTGACTGAGTTTTCCCAGTGGTGCCAAAACTCAGCTCAACATGCAAGTGGAGGGACTGAGAGCGCAGACGTGAATGAGGACGGTGGCCGGAGGCCGCGGGAGGAACAGCCCACTCCCAGCCTCCAGACCAGACAGAAGAGAGATGCCCTCACCCAGAAGGTTTTACTGTGCCCGAGGGTGCAGGTGTTAGGAAACGGAGTTTTATTTTGCTGAGCGGAGAGGCTGGGGCGAGCATGTCTGTTTTCAGAAGGGTTTTCATGATCCTGGACATGCATAAGTTAGGTCAGCTGACTGGCTTTGCAAAAGCGTCCGTTCACTTGGCCGACAGTGCAGATTGAGTTCTGTGCTCTCAGGGCTCTCCCGGATCTGTCTCTTCCTGCTTTCCCACCGTCTGTGCTGCCTCGCACCTCTTGGACACAAACACGCGGACGTGGGCATGTATGTCTCAGCTCGGCCCAGTAAGCTAACGTGGACGCCATCCAGAAAGCTCTAGTTCATGCTGAATCTTAACCAAAAACCATCCAATACTGTCGTTACTAAGACAGCACCAAGACCTGAAGCCATTTTCCCTTTGAGTCCACTGACTACCACCTCTTAAAGCCCAGTAAATAAGCAGACCCCGCTAAGCATTTGCAAACTTAGGATTCGCTTGCCTTTCTGGCACACGCTTTTCTTAGCCTCTTGGATCTTAACCATAACATATAATTAAAGGAAAAAGAAAGGTTGGGGCGATGACATGGCCCCCATACCTGTTCCTATAAGGGGACACTCCCCCAACTTCCTGAAGATGTCACTTCCTTCTCAGGTGCTGCTGGTGGGATCCAGAGACTGGCTTTTCCCCAGCCAGGGAGGGTGGACCACAGCGGGTGGACCCCAGGGAGGGCAGCCGCGACCACAGTGCCTACCCCTCCAACAGAAGGTCAGAAGACGAGCTCGTGACCTCATTTTCCACTGACAGATCACTAGGCAAACCAGAGCATCCCTAGCAGGTGGCCTGGCTACTCTTTAGAGACAGAAACCCTGAGAAAGTGAACACCCCACGGGACCTGGAGACACCTGGCATCTTCTCTGGTTTTGAAAGCGTGCTGCGTTCCTAACTCAGCAAGATCACCAGCACCAGGGGGCCCAGCTGAAGAGCGATTCTGTGTCGAATGAAATCATTGGGACTTCAGTTAATTGGAAAATCAAACTTCTTTATTTGTCTCAATGGCCTTTTTTTCCCTGACCCTGAAAGGAAAGATAACAAAGATCAGGCACTTCAGAGTGTCCCAAGGTCCTATAATGTTAATGGGCGTTTTAAACACTAACAGGACAAGGCTCTTTCGGACACTTCTGCTCCTCTGAGCCGAGTCTACTGCAGCCCCGTGTGCAAAGGAGAGGAGGAGGCAGTAGCAAGACAGGCGGGAAGAAGTACGGAGGGAGAGGCTTTGCAGCGAAGGAGTGGTGGGGTGGGAAGGGAAGCCGAGCACCCAGGGCAGCGGCCACTGCTGGAAAGCTGCTACTGGGCACGGACCAGCACCAGCACACCCCTGCCCCCTGCCCTCTGCAGAGCCCACAACTCCTTGGCAGCCCTGAGTGGGGAGTCCTGTTGGAGGCAGATAAGCTGACCTAGAATGAAGCCCTTAGCCATGAAGGTAACCAGACACACGGGTTCCATCTGCTTCTGGCCCCTCCCCCAACACGGGCAGTGCTTCTGCCCACCCCCGCCGCATCTTCCAGGGCACATGTCCTGCAGTCAGCCCGCACCTCAGCTCCACAGTGCTCGAGGGACAAACTGGTTAAGGAAAGGCCGGCTGCTGCTGAGTCAGGGGTCAGGCTTCATCTTCCATGACCTTGTGTTCCCCAGAGGTGAGACAGATGGATAACATTTTTCAAAGACAGTTCTTTGTGTTTTAGGGAACTGTGGGCCCTTGTAGCAGTGGGGGCTTCCAGATAGGCCAGAATGGAGTGGACCCTGGGGCATCCCAGTACAGTAGCTTCTCCATGGTCACGTGGCAGGGTCAGTTGGAACACCAGTTGGCCACACCACTCCATGACTGAGGAATCCAATGGGACTTGTGTCTTTGGTGACATTTTGGTGTTTCCACTGGTTTTCCAGACCACCTGAATAGTGCTACCTTCACATTCCCTGGAACACACCCTTCCTGAAATCCCCTCACCCCATGCCTTTGCCACTGTGTGCTCTCAAATTTTCTCCGAAAATTTTAACACCCCCCCCCAATTAGAGGGCTACTTTTCTACCCAACAGGTAATCTTAGCCATCTTCCCCACCTCTCCAGCTGGGGGCTCTGGCCACTGACTTCTCCTATACTTGGCCACACAGGGGGCACTTGGATGGTTTCTCTTAGGACTTTGACCCCACCTTGTGTTGTTTGCTGTGGAGAGTGCCTGGTGGCCTAGTGTGGCCAATCTCACTTTCCTAGGAGACATGACCCACTAACACATGGCAGCTCTGACCCAAAGGCCCCTGAGATGTGTGACGGTAAATCTGGAACCACAGACAGATTCCCTCCATTAATCAGCCCATTGGGTTAGAAATTCCATGTTGGGTTTACATAGAATGAAAGATACTTGAATTGTTGAGCGCCCGTGAGCGCACAGCTTCTGCTATCCAGTATTAACAGATGGCCGTTGTTGTGAAACGGGAGTGATGCCTGAGGGTCTCGATGATGCTTGAGCCTTTTATGTAACTTTTTATTAAGTCTTTGTGTATCTCAACTCATTAATAAAGAAAAGAAGAACACTTGGCCTATTTCCTCTTATTCAGATATTCCTAAACTTGCTGAGAACGTTGTAAGTTGTCCGTGTCTGGCCGTGTAAGGAGCACCTTACAGAGCAAACCTAAAGTAGAGAGGAGACCACTGGTGGCCATGAGGAGGGTCTCCTTCCCACCTGGAGCCAGAGGATGAGGGCAAGTGAGCGTGGTGATTAGAGACACAGCCTCTTGATGTCTGGCAGCCCTGGGTTCGAGTTCTGTCACTGACCTTTACGTGCCTTTGAGCAAGTTCCCTGTTTCAGTCTCCAGCCTGCCTGAGGACTGGGTAATAGTGTGCACCCCCTAAATAGACTGAGGACTGAAGCTAGGCTGTGGTACGGATCTCAGAAGTGGCGCTCTTTGTAGAGGACACTGGGCTGTCTGACGTTGCTTTCCATGGAAAGAAACTGCCCCCTGCCCCCATCCACAAGATCACAGTCTTTTGTACAATGTGGTTTCATTTCTCTGTTAATTGAACCTAGTGGGTACTTGGCTAAGTTGAGTCTCTCTGGGTCATTGATCCAGGGACTAGAGACCAACAGACCATATCCCTCTCTTGGAACGTCTTTGGGGAGCCATAGCTAAAGCATGTAGACCCAGGGGCTCCTCACCCCTTCTGGGCTGGGAGCAGACTAGTGTAGGCACAGTGGTGTGGTGGCCACTGGGCCTGGCTGTCTGCGCATTCATTCATTCTGTACGTATTGATCAGGCGTTGGGCTTGGTGGTAGGCCCACGGTAGTGAGCAGAGCAGACGATCTTCTGGTCATCAGTTCTCCTTTAGTCCTGAATTAGCTTCCTGTGGCTACTGTAACAAATTACCGCAAACTTAGTGGCTTAACAGAGAAGTTTATGCTCTCACAGTTCTAGAGGCCAGAAGTCCAAACTCAGTAGGCTGAAGTCAAGGTGTGGGCAGGGCTGTGCTCCCTCTGGAGGCTCTGGGGGAGAACCCACTCCTTGCTTCTTCCTGCTTCTAGAGCTTCTGGCATTGCCGGGTTGGGGCCATTTCCCTCCAGTCTCCAAGGTCAGCATCTTCCAATCTCTCTCTTCTCTATCTTCACATGGCCTTCTCCTCCCTATGGCAAGCCTCCCTCCCTCCAAGCTGATGCTCCCTCCTTCACTGAGAAAGTTGAAGCCAGCTGAACAGAATTTCCACAGCTTCCTTCCACTGCCTCCACCCACCGCCTAGCATCTGCACCCACACACTCTGCCTTCTTGGCTGCTACAGGCAGACCATCCATGCTCCTGGCCGAAGCCAGTCCCTTCTCATGGGTACAAGAACACATCCAGGACCTCCCTCTGGCTCTCCACCCCTCTCTCTTCGGCAGCATCTGTTCTTCTCTCTTGGATCTTCCCCATCTTCAAACAGACAAGAACAAAACTTTCCTTTGACACCCCGCCTCTGCCAGATACCTCTTTCTTCTCTGCCGTCTTGTGCAGGAAGCCATCTTAAAAGGGTAATCTATACTCAGTCCATGAATTGCTCTCATTCCTTTCTCTTTAAACTGCTCTAAACAGACTTTCATCCATCGTTCCACCCCCAGCAGCCTTCTTCTCAGGGTCAGCCATGGCTTCCATCTTGCTAAATTCAGGCTTAATTCTGGGTTCTCAGTCTTTTCACATTGGATCTTGCAGCTTTGGCACAGTTTATCACTCCTTCTTCCTTGTTCAAGTTTCTTCCATTGGCTTCGAGGATGCTGCCATCTCTTTGTTTTTCTCCTTCCTCGTGGTCACTCCCTAATGACCACCACCTCTTGCTGGTCCCTCCTCCTTTGTTGGAGCACCCAGAGCTCAGTCCTTGGTCCTCCACCTACCATATGATCCAGTAACTCCACTATTGGTTATTTATCCAAAGAAAAAGAAACACTAATTCAAGAAGATGTATGCTCCCCTATTTTATTGCAGCATTATTTACGATAGCCAAGATATGGAAGCAACCTAAGTGTCCCTCTATAGATGAATGGATAAGGAAAATGTCACACACATGCACACGCACACGGACGCATGTGCTCACAATGGAACATTATGCAGCCATAAAAAAGGATGAGATTGTGCCATTTGAGACAACATGGATGGTGTTAGAGAGTATTATGCTAAGTGAACTAAGACAGAAAAAGACAACATGATTCCACTCATAAGTAGAATCTAAAAAACAATAGCAAATGAATGAATGAAAAGCAGAATCAGATCTATAAATACAGAGAACAAACTTTTGTTGCCAGAGGGGATGAGGGTGGGGGTTTGGGCAAACTAGGTGCAGGGGGAGGGAGATCCAGGCTTCCAGTTGGAGAATGAGTAAGTCATGGGAATAAAAGGCACAGAATAAGGAATACAGTCAATGATACTATAATAATGAGGTGAGAGGACAAACGGTAGCTACACCTGTGGTGAACATAGTGTGATGTATAAACTTGTCCAGTCACTAAGTTGTGTACCTGAAATAATAAAATATTGTGTGTCAACTGTACTTAAATTAAAAAAAAAATTTTGTTCCAGGTAATAAACCACCTAGCCCAGTGACTGTCTACACTTATTGTGGTGAGCACTGAGTAATGTATAGAACTGTGGAATCACTGTGTTATACACCTGAAACTAATATAACATTGTACGTCAACTATACTCCAATTAAAAGTCTCCATGTCACCGGGGTTCCTAGCCTAATGGGGATGATGAACCATTATCACCGCAGGTGATTCACGTGTGCGGTGCAGGAAAGTTTGAGTTTCACTGCCTTAGAACATCAGCCCGGCATTGGAATGCCATCTAGTCCTGTCTCACTGTGCCTCAGGACCCCGTTCACCACGTCCAGCCAGAGGAAGCCTCCTCAGCATTCCACTTGACAGTGACAGTTTGCTCGTCTGCCTGGCAAGGCAACGTGCTCCCCAGTGTCCGCCCCCCCTGTCAGCATGTGGTGCCCTTAATTATGAAGGAGTTTTCACACAAAGGTGAGCGGGACCCCAGCTGGCTTCTCAAACACTCTAGTATTTGCCGTCACATGTGGACAGCTAAGTTCAATGTAAAGAACAAGAGAACTCACAATCCGGGCTAAGAACACCGGAAGGCTCTGGGTTCTTCAGGCACTCTGAAGGTGGAATGTTCTGTGCAAGCTGGAGATACTCTTGTTCCCCCAGGAACTTTGCAAAGCTCCAACAGGCTGCCAAATAGCTCATTATCGTGGTAATGTAAAAAATGGAAACATAAAAAAGAAAGCTGAGTTCAAACGGAGCCAAGCGCTGATGGAGGCTTTCAGTAGAAGGTATATCCTGGCGATGATGAGGTTAAACCATGAACTCGGACTCAAACCCAGCTTCCCACCCACGCCTGGGCTGATGAACAGAAGTAAAATAATTGTATAAGTGGTTCTCAAAGTGTGGGCCCCAGACCGGCAGCTTTCAGCAACACCTGGGAACGTATTAGAAATGCAAATTATCTGGCCCCATCTCAGACCTACGGAGTCAGAAAATCTGAGGTGAGTCCCGGCAATGTGTGTTTTAACAAGACCTCCAGGAGATTATAATGCTCCCTCAAGTTCGAAAACCTCTGTATGAATACATGTAAGTAAGAATAAAAATCCCCACCACGTGCAGGTAAAGGGCAGCTTATTCTGTTCTTGTCTGCAAGACGGCAGTAGGCAATCCGGGCGGAGCTGTCCAGGTCCTGCCCCTCTCCTTCCAGCATCTGATAAACGAGGCTCCCTCAAGGTCTGGAACCCAGGGACCCCAGCACAGGGGTTAGTAACCTTGCCTCCCACCCTGGAGTGGGGTAGCTGCCCCGCCCTACCTTCCCTGAAATCATACGTAAAATTGTGCATAGACGTGCATTCTTCTAGAGACTATTATATTGTATCAGATTCTTACTGTACCACTGTGCATTATCCAACAAAAAACTGAACTTGGAGCCTCTTTTTTCGGACTTCAGGTCCTTCTGGCAGTTTTACAGCCACTGAGAGCGGGAAGAGGAAATGAAAGGAGCAAAGATCCATTTACTTTTCTAAGAAGCTCTGACAAAACTCTCCATTTGGTTGACACATCCCTGAACCTGCCCCCACGACATCCTGAGGGAGGGGGCCGGCCGCCCTTCTCCCAGTTCCCCCACGTGACTAAGTGTGTGACCCACACATGACTCACTCTCCTCCCCCCACCCCCCGTGGTTTGCACCACACCTGCTGCTTGGGCCCTGACACGCTGGTCCAGAACTGATGAAGTGGGGAGGGGAAAATTGGGATGCTTGACAGCACCGGGACTACCTTGTAGCCCGCCACTGGGGTAGAAGCCCGGCTGGGAAAGGCAGGCAGAGGAAGGATGTGAGGCACATCGAAAAGTCCCTTGACGTCCGATGCCACTTCTCGAATTCATAACCACCTGGGCAGCAGTCTGCAAAGGGCTGTGTGTGAGCATTAATATCACTTCTGGAGCTTGGGGAAAAAAAACCCAGAGAACCTGGTGCAGTCAGCTCGGGTTCGGACCCCAGGTGATTCGGCTCCGCAGCCAGGGCTGAGACCCTAAAGAGCTGGTTCCACTTTATTCGGGTCCCTTGTCAGTGAACATTGCTTAATAAAACAAACAGCTGTCTGGACTTGCCAGTGTCTGAAGTTAAAAAAGGACCCCAATTTCCCAGCCCTTATGTAAACAAACACTTGACCATAGGGACTCTTCTCTTTCCGTGTCGGCAGGTCCTCTCGGAGCCCGGCTTGCCTTGTTGATTCATCTGGTCACAATCTACAAGTTCACATCCCTTCCATTTTTATGTCCTCAGGTCCCAGGGGAAGCCTGCTAGTACAAAGTTAACACTTGATGTTTATTAAATGAATGAATCATTATTACAGCTATCAGCATGGCCCTCCATGCCTTAAGCCTACGTCCCACAGGCTCCCCACTCTGAAGTTCAGCCCCTGCCTCAGTTTGCACAAAGCAAGCTCGCTCTCAGCAACCATTCCTGAGCTCTGCTGAGGACTTGGGGGTCCCAAGGATGGCCCCTCCGCTGTCAGGGCCTCT